AGTGGAGCGATGCTTCCCGATAGACTGTAAGGGGTCCAGAAGGCTGTTATCACTGAGGCGGGAGATCAGACAGTTGTAGACTAGGCGTCCTAGAGATTAGAGGTAAATGGGAGCAGGGAGACAGGTGGGTTTAGCGCCACAGGCTTTATGTATAGGGGTGACCATGCATGTTTTAGTGGGGAGGGGAAGATGTCAATAGAAAGGGAGAGATTCAACATGTGGGTTAGAAAGCATAGAAAAGGGCAAAGGGGTGACCCGGGGTAGTTGTAAGGAAACGGGGTCCAAGTGGCAGGTGGGTGGCAGGAGGTTTAGCAACCTCCTCTGTAACAGCAGGGTGGGAAGAAGAAAGTATCCAATGTGGAGGTAGACATGGTATGTTAAAGTGACATTAAACCCTCAGATTTTTTTTACATAAAACAGTACTGTAATGTGCGCTTTACTGTAATCCATGGTTGTTTCCCTTCTCTTTGCTGCTCTTCCTTTTAAATCCTCATGCCTTCTCATGCTGGGCAGAACAGCCGAATGTAATGCATACATCTTGCTTCCGGAACAATCATCAATCCCAAACCGCATGTAATTGTACCATGTATGATTACACGAGGTCTATCGCTGACAGATGCCACCGCCACCCTGACATTTGCTTCAATGGGGACAGTGGCCACATCTGAATGGGGGCACCTGGGATTCTGCCGCAGGAATCCCACAAGCCCCCCGTGTGAACGAGACCTTACACTATGACAGACGATGCTTTTTCGCTTAATTTAGTTAATGGTATGTTTAGTGAGCATTGATTCAAGCAGTGTATGGTGGAGCATGCTCACTTGCTGCAGTTTATAATGACGTCCTTTGGCTTTATTCTCAGTTTTAACATTCCCATTTTGGGATGGTCACCTCGGCCACGGAACAGACCCGGCGGTTCAATTTTGAAGTTGCCGATTTTTTCCCGATGCCCATCCAGCATGCAGTAACCGTACTCCTCCTGAAGCTTGCTGGCCTCCTCCTTTAATTTCTAATGTGAAAACAAAAACAAAAAATAGTCACTAAATTGCTGCACACAGCTGCATTATAATGGAAAATGTCTACATTTATACCGACTAGGACCACATTCACATATGTACAATTACCCTGACAATATGCTCATGGATGGTGGAATAAAAGCCGAACACTGGATAGTAAAAGAAATGGGTCGATCAGGAGTTTTGACTTTCCTGGTTGCATGCTTGCTTCAGGTCACTCAAGTACAGATGTTAGAACAAAGAAATTAGCATTTACTGAAGATGAAAAAAAGATCAGTCTTCATTTTTCTCTGCACGGGTTTTCTTTATATCTATCTACACCCTGCATACAATAAAATAGGATTTCTTTGTACTTGCCATAAAATTATTTTCTAGGAATCCAGTCGGGGGAGAGTCTTTACTTTTGGGTTATATTGCTGCCTACAGGAGGAATGGATAATGGCAAGCAAAAAAACTGTAGGCCAAGGAAAACCCCTTCTACCAGCATGCCTCAGCTTTGTTTGCACAGCAGTGCCAAGAGCATGATCCTAAAACACAGAGGGATAGGACAGGTACCCCTCAATGGACTCAATGAAAAGGATTTTGCAGTAAGGGAAATATATTGTCTTTCCCATACAATGAAAAACACAGGAAGTCTAACCTTTGGGATGTCCAAAGGTAGTCCAACTGAGAAGCTCCTCCTCTAACCAAGTCCCCTCTACTGACAGGATACCCAAGATTCCCCCACAGTCAAACAGGCTGGCACCTGTCATAGGAAGCTTCCAAAAGATGAGAAGAAACTACTTCCGACTCCAGAGCTGGATTACTGAGCCACCAAGCCACAGATAGTCTGACCCTTGGTATTAGTCTGGTCCTTGGTATTGATAAGCCTGTCTATAGACAGGACAAATTCATCCCACAATGACAGAACATTCTGCTGGAGAGGTCTGGAACAAAACTGGGCAAAGGGACATCAAAGCAGAAAGTCTGGGCAAGGAACACTCTGGCCTGAGACCTAAGTCTCAAGGCCAAAGTCTCAAGGCCAAAGTCTCAAGGCCAAAGTCTGCTCCAGTGACTATTTACTAAAGTTTAGGATTCACTTGAACTTCTGTCATGTCTGACCAGAACCCTTGCCAATTGTTATTTTAACAGGTCGTCCCAAGTATCCCACAATGGGAATGCACAAGAACGCAACAGGGCCAACATTGGAATCAACACCTTGGATAACATCCAAGGTGAAGACTATATGCTGAATGGCAGACCATGAACTAGGGCTGCAACCAACTAATCGATGAGAAAAGTTGTCAACTATTCTCATTATCAATTAGTTGGTGGGGGGTGGGGAGAGAAGAGAGATTTTTTTTAATGCAACCAATCGCTTATTTGAAAAAATAAAAAATCGGGCAACTAAATCGATTATGAAAAGAGTTAACTGCAACCCTACCATGAACCGGTAAATGCAGTAGTAATACAGCAAATGCTGGTGTGATGAAAAGATGGACACATGCAAGTAAGCATCTTTTATGCCCACAGAAGACAAAGTTTCCCTGATCAGAGAAGACAATGAATCTGGCAGATTCCATCAGGAACTTGTGGAGCCAAATGTAAACATTTAAGGCTTTGACCTCCAAGATGGTAAAAAGGTTCCCTTTGGGTTTTGAAACAGTGAACAGGTTGGAGTAAAACATCTAGAATGTTTCTGCAAGAGGAACTAGAGCGATGACACCTTGGTTCAGGAGTCCTGAATGAGCCTGACGAAGATCTAACAGTCTGTAAGGAGACACAGGAAAGTTCAAAAGAAGAAAATATGAGGAGGCAGGAAAGGAAATATACATTTTGTAGTCCTAGGGGACCACTTCCTGAATCCAAGTCTCTGCAATTCAAGATGTCCAACAAGCCTGCAAAGGTCAACATCTGCATTTCTGTCCATTTGCAATGAAATGGCAGGCAGAGACAGGGGATGATGGGCTGGTCAAGTGACCAGTCTTGCAGAAGTTTTGTTGGTGACGAGAGACCCTGGTTTCTGGGACAGGACTTGGGACATGGCCATTATTGCAGATATACAGGTGAAACTCGAATAATTAGAATATCGTGCAAAGTTCATTTATTTCACTAATGCAACTTAACCAGAGCCGAGAATATTGCACCTTGTCACAATATTCTCATTTTTTGAGGTTGTGGATTTGGGGTTCTTGGGGTTTTCATGAGCTATAAGCCATAATCATCACAATGATGACAAATCACGGCTTGAACTATCTTGCTTTGCATGTAATGAGTCTATCTCATATATTAGTTTCACCTTTTAAGTTGCATTAGTGAAATAAATGAACTTTTGCACGATATTCTAATTATTCCAGTTACACCAGTATATGGTTGGTATTTAGATTCGTGACCCACTCCTTTAGGCAGGCAGCAGGAATGGACTGAAGTGCCACATGAATCTTTTCAACAGGAGCAGCAGTTTGGGGGGGGGGAAGAGAACATGGAGTGTGCAAATCTCCACCCAACACACAGTCCCACGTTACCACTTCCCCAAAAGAGCTAGTGGGAAAATGGGGAATGGCGACCAGCAGCCAAGAGAATTGAGGGAGTTCCCAATGCTAGGCCCGAGCAGCCTGAGTCTTGGAGACAGGGCAAGCTCAGAGGCAATGGAATAACCTTTTATTTTATAGCCGCAATAACGGCCATGTCTCAAGTTCTGTCCCAGGGTCTCTGGTCACCAACAAAACTTCTGCAAGACAGGTCCACTTGACCAGCACATCATCCCTTAACAATGTCCACCATTTCATTGTGAATGGACAGAAACAAATCCTTTGGCAGGAAAAACAGCCTATTATATAGTGCCAACAGTTTGCGCGGAGCTTTGGAATATAAGAAGGACATATTAAGCCATTTTCCTGAATTCAGCTTTAAAGTGAACCAATACGTTGCCCATGCCCAGGTACCCTTTAATACCTGCCCTCCCCAGCTGCACATACACACAACTTCACTGCCCCACTGTTCCATTTGGTGTCCAGGAATGAAGAAAAGCAGTTCTCTCTCCCCAGCCCCTTGTGAGGGAACTGTTTGCCTGAGCAACCAATCACCAGGTAAGGTCACATGGGAGGAATGGTATGACCCAAACTTTCCCTATACCTGGAAGCACCAGTGGCTGAACAATACAGGAATATAGCAAAGAGAAAGTATGTGTACATCTGGGGAGAGAAAGCACTTATGAGAACCTATTGCTTCACCCTGCAACACAAAAAAAAAAAAAAAAAAAAAAAAAAAAAAAAAAAAACAAAGCTTTCCGTTCCTCATTTCTATCAAAGAAATACTTGTGGATCTCCGTAAAGTCACATTTGTCCAGATGCTTAATGGTCTTCTTCTCTTCTTTTGTCATTTGCTGTAAAAGGTAAACAACGAATGTTGTGACATGCAAATATATGAGGAAAATTCTACTGCAGAGCTACTGAAGAGACATTCAACCCTCAAGGAAACCAGCAAAAACTGAGTCCTGCAGGTGGCTTGCAGTTTGTTTGCCAGTGTCCAATCCTCCTGCAGACAGCAGTATAAACAAAAGCTTAAAGGAGAACTATGGGTCAGGGCTTTTCCCCATAGTTCTCCTTAGGGTAACGGGAGGACACAAACTAGCGTCCTCCCGTTACCCAAAGCTCAGTATACCGCAAGCTACAGCTGGCGGTATACTGAGACGCCGCAGCCGGAGCGGATCCCGACATCGATGTCGAGATCCGCCCAGCTGCGTGACTGACAGCTGGCTCTGCCTATTTAGAGGCAGAGACAGCTGTACCCGCCCACCTCCCGATCCGCCAGTCAGCGCTGGCGGATCGGGGA